CACTTCCTCTACCATTACCAGCATCAACACCACCACACCATCTTCATCACTGCCACTACCATTACCAGCATCAATACCACTACATCATCATCATCATCACTGCCACTACCATTACTATCATCACCATGTTTATCAGCATCAATGCCATCACCATTATTATCATCCCCACTTTTATCAGCATCAACAACACCATCATAATCACTGCAACCACAAATTATCATCATCACCACTATTATCAACACCACCACTACAATTATCATCACTTCGTTACCTACTAGCAACATCTTCATCATAACATAATGACAAGACCAAGTTTCATGATTTCTAAACTCATTTGTGAAATGATTTCTTTCAGAATGATAGGCGGTATTTAGTTCTAAATTGCTTGGAAGAAGAACAGGAAAGACTTTTATTGAACTATATTGATGAACTTTATCGCCATGGTCCACCACCACCACCAACTGCTACATTGCCATCTAACTGGAATAAATCCCACTAAAATGCCCTCTTTTGTCTTATCATGTCAAGAAAATATTCTTGGATAGCAGTATATAATAGAAGGGCTTCTACTTTATCCCAACAGTATCTTTTTTAGATTTGTATAGTTATATTCTTCAAGTATGGAAAAAGTTTTTAAAATTATGATAAGTTATATTGAGAAAATGAGCTACAAAATCTAATAGGCTACTAGATTAATTCTATGTATCCTAATGGTTGAGCCTGTCATTTTCTTCCCCACCCTTCCCTCCCTTCTGGCTTTTCTTTCTGAACAATTGACAGTTTTGGAAAAACTCCTGAAGATTGGTTGTTATCATCTAAATAGAGGCTTTGTGCTATCACGTGCCGGGGTCCATAATACAGCTTCCAGGACTGCCTGTGCCTCTATGCTCTTGGGAGTTGAATTCTTTATCTTGTAAAACCATTGTATTGTTCCTGCCATCTAACATGGCTGCCATCACGATGGTGCAAAGCCTGTATGAGTGTTACGAAAATTATCAGTGGCCTTATGTTCAGAACTTTGTTTGGGCTTCCTCATGCGTGCTAGCTTATAAGTCATCACACCATTATAGACTCGGGCTAAAAGTAATAGTTGGCAGCAAATTAATTTTAGCTTGGTCATACCTTGTTTATGGCTCAACGTAACTGGTCAAAATGATCAGCAAAGCAAAGTATTGACTGGACAATTTATGATTCTTGAAGGCCTTGTCTGATGACCAGCCAATATTTAGTGCTGTAGACTTTGCGTATGGTGTGATAAAGCAGATCTCATAAAAAGNTGATGACCAGCCAATATTTAGTGCTGTAGACTTTGCGTATGGTGTGATAAAGCAGATCTCATAAAAAGTAAAACTAGTACTGTGTTATAGTATGGAATTTATAGCATATGTTGAACTTATCAATGCTATTTTTAGCCTCTCCAAATAACCTGATAATAAAGTAGTGCTTAAAAGTTGTACAAAATAAGGATCAAGACAAGTGTAAATCTCGTATAAAAAATTAAAAACCTTTCAATTTTAGTTTGTAGTGGTTGTTATGTGATACAAACTAATTGGGAGTCTAGACAAATCGAACAGTAACAAGCTTAAGAATTCAAAASGTTACTAATAGCAAATTGTTTAGTGCTCTAGAACTTCCAACAGGAATTTTCAAACATGGTACCAGCAGCTTATTTTTCRTAAGATATTGTTGAGTTCTATTCTCTGATATTAACACTGTAGCCAGCTGGATAGCATAGCATCCAATTTTATATCAGAAAATTTTATTTTTTGAAGATTTTATTCTTTTTTTGCACCTATATATATTTACATTCAGACAAGTATTACATCTAATACATTTACTTTGTAACCCCTTTTTCAATAACACACCCAGAATCTCAACAGTTTGCCATTATGACAAAATAGGTTTTGGTGTATATCAATTGAAGTGTTTCCATGTTCTTGGAAAACATTTTCAAATAGTATGGTAATGGTGTCATGGAAATGCATTGACAACCTATATCGATGCAATATCATTTAGTACGGTTCTGTGTGTGTTATTGAGAACAACTGTATGTTTATGCATATTCAAATTGGAATCTTAACTGATGAAATCTAACTGATCATTATAATCCTACAAATTAAGTGCTGAAAAGGATACTAAACTCAATGTTCGACCAGAGACACCTCAACTGGGTTTTTCTCAAGGAACAGTTATAATATTGTCCTTCCAAAATATTTCTAGCCTGTGTACAGCCAATTTGGCCTCCCCCCTACATGAAAATATACAAGTAGGGAGTTAYGAACGCACAGGCTGTACACAGGCTAAGGGCCAGTTTAGACRGTACGATTTTCACCTACAACTATCGTATACAACACGCTCATGCCATCCTACAACTCAAGTCGTAGCGTGTAAATCAAGCCTACAACTCGCCTAYGACAGACGCGTGCGTGTTGTATACAATAGTTGTAGGCGAAAACCGTAYCGWYTAACCRGCCTTAAAAGATGTTAAATATTACCAACAAGTAAAAAGTAAAAAAGCCCAAAACATTTGTTYTTATCCATTACAGCTTGCAGTTTGTTTGCCTTCAAAAATGGATTAACTATGGGTAATTGTCTAGTACTTGTGTGAYATACTTCAAAATCATCATCTTCCCTAACCAATAGGTAAGTAATAATAAACAAAGCAAAATAATAGATTTTTTAAAAAGATTTATAGACCTGTTTAGCTTGGACATTAAGGTTTCCCTTCAGTTTCTTTCTATACAGATACATGTAAAAAATACAATTTTGGTTTGATTACATGTTGTTCCCAAGGTGTCAATAAACATGGGAAATTGTCCAAACTGAAGATGTCTATAATTGACTTCTTTTAAACCTTTCCAACTATAGAACCACAGAACAAAAAACATTTATCTATATCTATAACTTTTTTTTTTCATTTTGAACAAATATGAAATTATTGAAGAACTTTGTTAATAGTCATAGCAACATTCATTAACAAAGTTTATAACTGCCATACTTTTGTAATGGGAATAACATGAATATCCTTAATTGCTACATTGTAAAATGTATTTAACATTAATATATTACAACAGTAAAATCCTGTCACTTCTTTCTATAAAGATGGTATTAGAAAAGTCTCTGACTTACGACCAAAATATCATTTATTTAACATGCAAATTTTCGTTTTTCATGTTAAAAGAATATTCTTATTAAAAATAAATAGTTCTTGGCATATTCACCAAGTTTAAATAAACAATTTTTTGCATGACAAATATTCGTGTAAATGTTATGTTTCTTTTTAAAAGTAAACATTAATTTAATGAACTTCTGAAAGCAGCCAAATGACCTGATTTTCTTGCTGATAATTTTTACTAACAGCTGTATTAGATTTTTTCCATTAGGTTTATAGCTAAGGAGTTAGTATCTTCTTTAATTTCCATGCACCCACTGGTTTAGCACTAAATTATTCTAACTTACCCCCTCTTAAAATTGTTATGACTACATGTTGTTTAACTTAAAACTTGCAGCAATAAATGGGTARATATACCTTATGTACAATAAAGTAATATTTTTAATTAAAATGAATTTTGCTGCATGGTGAGCAGTCTTTGTCCTATAGATTTGGGTTATTGTTTCCTGAGAAGTCAATACAAAGGGAATTGTTCATGGACATTGTTGACATGAGTTCATGAATCTGAATACAATGAATAGAACGACAACAGCTCTTTTCAGCACCTGTCTCGTGCTGTTTTCCTTAGTTACTGACATTTGTTTAAGGCTTTTTTAAATAAACAGAATTTTCTGGAAAGTTCAACTGCACTGTGAGAATAGAAGGAAAAATGTAAAGGAAAGAAATAAAAATGAGAGTGAAAAAGGACTGCCCACCATGCTGTACAGATTCTGATCCCAGCCTGATCTTAAGCAGACAAAGACAATGGCTGYACAGTTTCAGAAATAGGTTTGAAAAAGGTATGGCCCTTGGTATCATGAGAGTAATAGAATCCATTTTGAGGATTTTTTACAAACTGATTGATCTTTGATGCTGGACACACGTTGGGACGCAGACCTCTGAATGTATCACCATAAGTTGTATTAAGGTCCATCGGGGAGGCAGACATGGGCCTATGCATTTCATGTCTTATGGGCTTTGCCCGATCCCCTCGTTGTCCCCTATAATGACTCTGCATTGTGGACTCTCCTTCAAATTTTCCAGAAGGTGGTCTGTAAGGGTCTGGTCCATTACCCTTGTGTATTGGCTGATAATCCCAGGCTCTGTATGTATCTCCATGTGTTGTCCTGTCCTGGAAGGGCTGGTTAGATACAAATGACTGCAGGGGAGGCTTTGCACTTGCTGCTGGGGGGACATTCCACTGAGGGTAGTCATGCCTGAAAGTAGTGTCATCCTTAAAATCTCCAGAGGGTGGTCGATAGATTTCCTTTTCTCTTAATTGCCTTTTCGGAAGGTTCCACTTTCTGTACGAGAAACCAGTAGTTGTTTCGTCCTCAAATGGAGCATTTGATTGAACTGCTTCCTGCCTGGGCTTGAAACTAGAAGAAGGCAAACCTTTCTTAAACTGGAAATCGTGCTGGAAGGTAGTTATACCAGCAAATGGTGGGCCAGTCGACGGCCGACGTTCAAGTGGCTTTTGGGACTGTGCTGGAGCGGCCCTTTTAGGAGTATAGTCCAACCTCGTTGTGGTATCTTTCTCCATTGCTCCTTGAGGTGGCCTAAAATCTGAATTAAATGGCCTGATAGGTGATCTTCTAGCTACATAGTGCCCAGGGAAGTCAGTTTGGTGGATAGTTCTTCCGTCCATTTTTCCGTCGTTGTTCATAGACGACGCAAGCGGTTTCATACTTTTGACTTTGCAAAGGTCCAAATCCCATGGCCTGAACGTATCTTGGTGTACAGTAGACCCTCCAAAAGGTCTGTTACTTGCCTGATAGTGAACTGGTGGCTTAGCAGACTCGGCTGGGGCTGCCACACGACCAGGGTAATCATGTTTGTAAGTACTTTCGTCTTCGACTTTACCATCGGGTCTAACGTACCTTTCCTTCTCGCGTTTCTTATGTGGTTCTAACTTATGGGGCACATAATCATACTTATAATTTGTATTACCGTCGAATGGATCTGTCGATGCCTTAACGGTGAATTCCGGCTTGATCGGTTCGGTTCTTCCTACATTTCCATGTTTTTTGTACCGATCTTGGTATTCTGTAAAGAGGCACTTTTGTGACGTGGGCCGATTAACTGGTTTGTGAGCACAGCGATGTCGCCTATTTGAATACAAACAGAAAAATATATGTTTTAGCGACTAAAAACTTAAACGTTTAAAAAATTGTTATATMTTTTGTTTCTGATTTTTGCATGAAAAGCTTAATAAACAGCGATCATGTGGCCGATCACGATTAKGAATTGAATGGAGTTGATCGTCCGATCAAAATGACCAAAAACACGTCTATCGTACAAGTAAAATAATATATCTTTTTCACTTACCCGCAATTACAGATCTGACATATACAAAGCGGGTGCACCATGTTATCTGTATGCAGTCCAGATCTACATGAGTTTGTGGTGAGAAATAGCGTTAGCAAGGAAAAAGCCTCTTTCTTTGTGGTAGCTAGCTGTTTTAGTGTGTATTTACAAGCGAGTCAGTTGCTAGGACGCAGTAAAGCAAATAAAGAGCGATCTGATTGGTTGATAGATAATGACGTAACAATTAACCTTAATTATATTATTTCTATTATCGATAATTCGAGATCTTTTTTGTTTTATTTTGCTTTTCTACTTTTTTAATGTTTGTGTTTTAAGTATGGAAAAAATTGAGAKATGATGAGATGAGATAATTTATACTTTTGTTGGAATATTTTCTACTGGATTATTATATCTTGCATTTCATGTAATATTCCTACAAATTTGCAGAAGTGAAAAGCTTAAGTTCATCAATAARTTGCGTTTATTTAGTCATTTTGATTGTTTGATCGATCCATTATTTTTGCTGTATGTTTTAAGAGTTTGAAAGGTTGAAAAAACATAAAATTTTAGTCTAACGTTCGGGTTATTTTTCGGGCTCCTTGACGACAGGAAATTTTTTTACTTCTCGAATATTCATCTGAAAACTGGTAACTATAGTCACAGCTTCTGACTTAGACGACATAGACCTTTTCAGTGTCTGTGAAATGATTWATTGGACCACAGGCTATAAACTATTTAATCTTTTTACTAAGATATAAATATTAGCAGTAGATCGGTTTTTTATCGAAATGTAATAAAATAATAATACATTTGAATAATGAATAAATTTAAAAGGTAATGATGGTAATACATTTCAAAAGTGAATGTATAAGAAAAATGTACGAAACTTGACATATATTATATGTGTACTTCCGGTTAATTAGCCTATTGACTTCCGGTTTCTTTGGCGGCAAATTTGACGCGCATGCAATTGAATTTTGGCGCCAAAACCAAAAATCGTTTTCATAGAAGAAAAAGATAAAAAACCATTTGGGTGTGTTTTCCATTTTCTTTTTTGTAAGAATATAAACTTAATATTCATTTCTTTGTTTATCAACCTTTTTTAAAATCTATTTTGATGTTTGTTTTTAAAAGCTTTATTTTTATTTTACAGCCAATGCAAGAAATACGYTGATGAAACTATTATCAAGTTGTCGCTACTAAATGGAGCCAACTGAGAAGGACAAGAAATGGGACCTTAGTATCCCAAACCAATCAAAATATRATCCAATACTACTCACAGAAAATGCTCAGAGAGTTCTTGCTGTAATTAGGCAAAGATATTCAATAAACAAGAAGGAAACACCTACTAGTTATGTTTCCATGAGACTTGCTCAAGCAGCTGCTAATAAGACATCAACAGAGGGTAAGCTAACTTTATAATGTGTAATAAAGACAATCTTGACCTACTAAATTGCWCCTTTCCCTTATTTTTTCATCTAATTTTCGTTTCTTTGTTGTTCTTTTTTCCTCCGACAGATTTACAAATTAACAGAACATTAACAGAACTACCATCCTCTACTACCAGTGCTGCAACGGAAGTTCTCGTCGGCCATACTTCCAGATCATCCATAACTCAATCTACTAATGTCTTAAAGGAGAAACAAGAAAGAAATCGTCCTCTAGAGTGAGCATCTTTACTTTTACATACATGGTCTTATGTCTTCTTTTCTTATTTCCTAATCCTTTTTTTTTCCTTTCTTTCTCAGACCACGCCAAACTAATTTTACTGCAAACAAAATACCGGAAAGAAAGAAGTCTTTAGTAAACATCCCGGCTTTAGGTATAGTTATCATTATTTTTCAGTTTTTATATTACTTTTTTTAATTCATCAGAATACTAAATGATTCTTTGAGGACTCAACATCATGATTGTCATTGTTATTTTTCTAAAACCTTTAGAAACCCCAGCATCAGCGCCGAAGAAGMTAGAGAGCAAGACCAAACTCTCCTCTAAATATCAAATCCTATCAGTTGAATCCATGACTCAAGAACAAAGATTCAACCTTGAAAAGACTTTATTGCAAGCAGAAGAGATTGCATGCACTCTTGCTTTTAGCGATAATTCTTCCCAACTTAGGTCATATGGTTGCCAGGTACAAATGCTTTGAAATGGCTTCCAATTATTTTTGTGAATTCGGCAAACTCAATATATTAAATTAGTTTATTGTTGTATCTATTTTTTATCCATTTGACACGGAAGAAGAAGAGGCGCCTCGATAAGAACACTCCTGAGGTATCTAATTGAGGGTCCTAACTCTTTTTATTTTTTTTGTCTTCGCCGGGACAAAGAATATTGAACTTTTTCTACGCATTTATTCCAGCTCTCTGCTATTGCCTTTGCTTTTCCTTGGTTTGTAAGTTCATCCAAGCCGATTGAGAATGCTTCTACAGCAAGCCAAATTGCCTTTGTAAAGTTCCCTCTCAAGACTTCATCGGATGAGCTYATAAAATGGACCAGGTTGATCTTTGTAATTTTTCCAAAAATGCAAAACATTGTTTTACGAGGAAAGAAGCGGTATTGGGTAAATTTTACGATTTCCTTGGCATTTGTTTTCTTGCAGAAATGTAATAKGTCAAGTTATGGAATCAGAAACAAGAAAAATCTGCTACGATTCTCAAGAAATTATAAACTGCATGCAAAGGATTTATGAATACGACAGTCAGACAGGTATAGAAAATATAAGGCCCCGTCTACACGTATCCTGAAATTTTTGTATCCGCAAATTATTTTTTGCGGATACGAAAATGTTTGCGTSCACACGCAGCGTATTCGAATCGTTTTCACCGTTCACACGTATCCATTTTCGTAAAATTTGTGGATACGGACACAAAAATTTCCGGACACGTGTGGAAGCAACCCGTATCCGTAWAAAAAATTGCGGATACAAAAATTTGCGGATACGTGTGGACGGGGCCTAAGGTTATATATACCAAAAATCGTCATTCCTTGCCGTTTGAGCTTGTTTGACCCGCCCGGCAATGTATCTCAAATGGCAAAGTTATCTTTATAAAAAAGAAGACTTGGCATACTGAATAGCATCCAAAGGTTACCTTTCCCCTTGCGCCTATGGTAAATTGAACGTTTTACCTGATATAATCATTTTGATATGCGATTCTTTCTATCTGTTATAAATTATCAGTCTGYAGTAAATGGATATTCATGGACGTCAGGATTGCTGTATGGCTACTTGATCCAGATAACCCGCCCAAAGACTATGGCCAACTTCTTCAGAAGCTTGACTTGAGCTTAACGYCACAGGTTGGTAGTAATTTGGGTCACTGCAAAAATGGGTTTTAGAAATGATTAAAATTTTAAAACGTTTTTTGATAGGACGAAAGAGATAAGAATGAGTTGCTGTGCCTAGATTTGAGCACCCTTGGGCCTGCTATACTGACTTTATACAATCGATTACAGGTTTGCTTAAGCATTCACAATTTCTCCTTTTTACAATGCTATACAACTGTAGCTTTCTACCCTTTTTCCATTTATTTGTTTGTCGGCTGCTTTCCAACTTTTCACAGGAGCAAGATTTATGGGACCTTTACTGGAATTTAGAAATGCCACTCAGCCCTATCTTAGCAAGTAAGATGATTCGAAATTTGCTTCAATTTAATTCCTTTCCTTCTATTTTTGTCATGTGCTTACASAAAAAGCCTCGTTTGCCATTTAAATTGATGCATTTGGCGCGCGCCAGGGGCGGATCCAGCCAAAAATATAAGGGGGGCTTGACCGAATTTTGCAGATGACACTACAGCCCCCCTTTGCTTCCCTGAATCCGCCCCTGCGCGCTGGCCAAAGACTTACAAAATAGAAYAATACTAAAATGCTATCTTAAAAACTCATGACAAGTTATGGAGACGCAGGGAATACAAGTTGACGCTCAAGCTTTAATGGACGCAAGTAACATCCTCAAAGTACGTTCTTGTACTCGACATTAATTCAGTTCTTCTTAACTAAAAAAGACCAACGAACGGTTTTTTGTTGTTCGTTGCAGAAGAGAATCACAAAGGTTGAAGCGGAAATTCACAAGGTGAAGTTTGAAGATATATAATCATATAAGTACAAACGTTTACTTGTGATCAGGTCTTGATCCAGTAAAGCAGGGGCAGCTCTAGGGTCGCTAAATACCCCCTCCCCCTTCAGCCCCTCTCTCGATGCAGAGTATCATTCAGTCGTTATCATAAGTAACGAAGTCTCTTATAAAAACCTTAAATTAATCAGCGTAATATTTCTTCTCTACTAAACCTCACTACTCCCCTCCAAACATGCTTTTAGAAACCCTGCATCTTCCTCTTTTTTCTCATAAATAAAGCTGTATTTTTTGTTTYGTAGGCTGCAGGGCATCCATTTCTAATCAACAGTTCCCATCAACTAAGACAGGTATTATATAGGGTTGCACGCGCAAAATCTGGACACCAAGCTAAACAAAAAAAAATTGTTTTTCACTAAAAAATAAAACACTTTTTTCTACTTACGACAACTAGGTTCTTTTTGATGAGCTGAAATTAGATAAAAARTGCAAGAAAATGCTAGCTAGAACAGCATCAAACAGTTATACTTCAACTTCTGAAGGAGTGGTAAATATCATATCCTTGACTGTTTTGTTACTGACTCTATAAAAAACTGGGTTTTTTTTCTAACTCGAGGGGTATTGATTTTAGTTGCTGGATCTTCAAGACCTTCATCCCTTGCCAAAACTAGTACTGGAATATCGACAGGTACTCTTAATATAGGACTCGATGTCTACTTCGCATTGCTGCCAATTAGATCATTTAATAATATTTGATTGGTGGTAGTAATAATCATAATATTGCGTGGCGTTGCGTGGCGTGGCGTTTTTATGCTATTATATGTAGTTATATTATTATATTATCATTAAAAGAGACTTTTGAATATAGTACAGCTATGATAATATATATATTAGTTTAACGAATATCTGTTATTCTTTGTTTTAGCTTGTAAAGCTACGATCGACRTACTTTGATGGAATGTTGCCCTATATAAAAGATGTAAGAGCCAATGCATGATTTTTCTAGTATCATTTATGTGATCCCRAGATATACCGTCCATAAACTAACATTTCTTTCTTTCTTTCTTTCTTGGTTCCAGGGAATGATATATACTAATTGGCAAGTCTGCATCTCACTTTCTGTTTTAACATCTTTTGTTTTATTGCGCTTGGAAGATTTTACTTTT